CCTCCTGTCACAGACATAAGTATGGGAGCGAAGGTCAGACATCCTCCCATTTCTTCCTCCAGCACTTCATGAATGAAATCCCTCCCTGCTGAGCGGTGAGTCCCGGATATCGTTTAGATTAAGTCTGCAGTCCTCCATGTATTCTCACTTGTGTTTGTTTTATAATTGATTTATTCATCCACTTTTCTTTCAATAATAAACTATTTAATGTGCAATTCCTGTGAGTTCCTGTGATGAAAGATTCATACTGTCGATTTTTAGTTTTCACCTACACTTTAAAAGTCTTCATCTGAAAGCACTGGTTTGGTTGGCGCAGTAAAAACAACATTTTCCTGTCTGGTTTTCTAATATAAAATATGAAGAATATTTAATTTGACTGATGAGGGTCATTATTATAAAGATAGTGTTTTTGTTTGTTTGGTAAGTACATGTTAAGTACATCTTGTCAGTCAGAATGAAATATCCTGATGTAGAGTACTTTGAAAAGTGCACTCATATGTCATCATAAACCACATTATTATGATTTACCATTTAGATTCATTCTGAAGATGTTAGATATTACCAGGCATCTGAGGAAAAGTACAACCGGGTCATGTACAAACAAATGTTTTCTTTTTCACAGATTTGACACCACATAAAAAAGAAGACAGTTAAAAAAAGGGGAAGTGGCAAATTTACTGAATCTCAAAACTCAAAACTGCTTTGTGTGGTCACACAGCTTTCTCCTTCCCATTTTTATTCAACCACCAAACCTACAACTGCTTTTAAGAGAAGCACATTAAATCACATTTTTGACCATCTTTCCCACATTTTCACACCGACTCATCTATCTGGGTGAAACAGACCAAAATGCCACTGAAGCAAAATGACATGTTAAACATGACGACCAACGTTTACCATCCAACCTGACAGAACTGGAGGGGATCTGCAAGGAGGAATGGCAGAGGATCCCCAAATGCAGGTGTGAAAAACTTGTTGCATCATTCCCAAAAAGACTCATGGCTGTATTAGCTCAAAAGGGTGCTTCTACTAAATACTGAGCAAAGGGTCTGAATACTTATGACCATGTGATATTTCAGTTTTTCTTTTTTAATAAATCTCTGCTAAAATGTCAAAAATTCTGTGTTTTCTGTCAATATGGGGTGCTGTGTGTACATTAATGAGGAAAAAAATGAACTTAAATGATTTTAGCATATGGCTGCAATATAACAAAGAGTGAAAAATTTAAGGGGGTCTGAATACTTTCAGTACCCACTGTACTTAACCAATAAAGGTGGTTATTATCATTCAGGGGGTGGGGGGCTGGGGAAGGCACGGAGCAGCTGCTCAGTATGAGGTGAGATGGTTGGTGGGTGTGGAGTTCTGCTTCCCAAACCTACAATAAAACACATAGCTAGTGGTGTTTTTCAAGCTTCTCCACACAGATGAGGGGTCGCTGGCTGAAAACTGGTTTTCCAACTTTTCAGAGTAGCTCCCCTTTGCTACTTTGATCTCCCTTGTCATTGTTTTCCTGGCCTGCCTGCACAGGATCCTGTTCCCCCTTCTGGTGGCACAATGAAGTTGCTTGAGTTTTGCTGTGAATCAGGGCTTGTTGTTGTATGTGCAGAAGGTGTTGGTGGGCACACACACATCCCCACAGAAACTGATGTAAGAGGCGACACTGTCAGTGAGTTTGTCCAGGTCTGTAGCTGGAGCTTCAGATACACTCCAGTCTGTGTAGTCAAAGCAGGCCTGTAGCTCTGACTTAGCCTCCTCAGTCCAGCTCTTCACTTTTTTTGACTGCAGGCTTCGCAGCTTTAAGTTTCTGCCTGTAGGCTAGAATAAAATGGACCATACAGTGATCGGACAGAGCGATATACGTTTTTTTATTGTTGGGTAGCAGTGGTCCAGTGTGATTTTGTCCCTGGTGGGACAAACTGATGTGCTGTCTGTATTTGGGCAGTTCGTGGGAGAGATTTGCTTTGTTAAAGTCTCCTAGAACAATGAGTGGAGAGTCGGGATGTTCCAGTTCCATGGTAGTTATCTGTTCAGCCAGGTGCTGTAGTGTGATAGTAAGGGCCTGCGGTCTCATATACACCTCAACCAGAATGAATAACAAAAATTCTCTGGGAGAATAAAATGGAGCTGATGAAAAGAGTCTCTAAGTCCATGTTGCAAGTTCTTTCTAACATTGTGGCATCTTTACATCAACCTTCATTTGTGTAGAAGCAGATTCCACCTCCTCTTGTTTTGCCAAATAACTGTTACACGGTTTGCCCTGTGTACCTGGAACCCTGGTATTTGTACTGCACTGTCCAAGATGGAGTTCCCAAGGGGACTGCAGCAGTAGAGAAATAGTTCCACATGAAGACAAATGAGCGACCCAAAATACTGTGTCTAGTGGCCTGACCTCTGGCCATCCCCTGACTCAGTCACTGACACTAAAGCGAGCAGAGCAGAGCAGGTTATTGATCCCACAGTGGGGAAATTTCTGTTACAGCAGCAATAGAGAACAACCAACATAACACCATAAAAACAGACGCCACCATAAGAACAGTCACATAAGAACAGAACTTCATAGAAACACGGAAAAGAACACGACGAGGACTCAGCTGTTGTAACTTGCTTCCACTCCGGGTGGTGCATATGTAAGTACGTAGTAACAGAGAACACTTAGTCTTAAAATAAAAAGTTACATAAAGGCAACAAAGCATTAGAACCGATACACACAAGTAGCCTCATCACAACGTTACATTTTACACAGCACAAATAAGCTAATCAAAGGCACCTAAAAACAGGGCAGAGCAGCACTGGAGAGAATGAGGAACAGCAGTAGAGACTAAACAACCAGGAAATCAAGAACAGTCGAATATTACTCACACAATTAATCCCACAATGGAGGAGAGATACCTGTGTTTCGGCCATAAGGATCTCTGAGCAACTACTCAAAAATACCCAAAGCAGGGCGATGAACAGTATTTGAGAGCGATCAGGAACAAGATATTACACATGAGCCTATTTACAATGCATTTCACCCCCATGAGCTGAAATATTGCACCACAGTTGATTATGGTTCTGTGTTGAATCTATGATGCAGGTAACGTGTAGCCTCGAACCCTATGCTGTAGCCTATGCCTGACGTGCAACTCTTCAGACATGTAGCTGCACATCACAGTGACACATACAACAACTGTGATTGATCGTATTTCCTGATTCATGTCTCTCAGTGGCCGGACAAGGACTGGAAATCCCCACTCGTTCTGCCTCTTTTGGCTCAGGTGGTGAGGTCCATCTCTTCTAGTGTCTTCTCTCTTGCGTGTGCTGAAGTAATTTCAGTAAAAGTAAATGCTGTTCAACATCTATTAGCTTTAATTCCAACATGATCTGTTCAGTTTCACTTTCCATCGTTTGTAAGTGCTGAAGAAAAGCAACACAGTGGCATAGAAACCCCACTGCCAATTACCGTTTTGGCAGTGTAATTGCAGGGCAACACAGACACACCAGCACACAAGTATAATGCTCCCAGTGGCGTAGGACACCTGTGTTGGTTCTACGTAGATTCAACACAGAACTGTAAATCGAGCTTAAGAGCCGTATTAAAGTACAAACTCAAGTTTC